CGTTAGCCACGCGGGAAACGCCGAAACGATCACAGCTTTTCGACACACTTAAAATTATGCACTACCGGCGTCCTTACTTTTGAAATCGCTTCTAACTGACTATAAAATATATCTAGTGACATCTGTTGATCGACTTGGAGTATTAGAAATGTTAGAAATTGAATTGCAAGTCACTACGCTGTACCCGCCGAACAGATAGGAATTTGCCGCAGGTACGCGTTTCGGAGCGCTTCGGTAAAAGGTCGAAATTTCAATGAAGAAAAATTTAGCCGGCTATTACACCTAATGTAACTTATTTTAGAGGGTTCAAAGTATTTTTTAAGCCAATAAAAAAAAATTGAATTTTTGAAAATTTTACAGTAGACTTCCCCCTTAATTCTAGAGGGAAAGATTAATTAATCGATTTGTTCCAATGCTTGGATCAATGCATGTATCATCGGCCCGAACTTCCATATTATGAATATTTCGATAGAACTCTCTTCCAGATATTTTCAACTTTCTTTTTTTAAAAAATAATGTTATTTTGCAGATCATCCCCAGGTAATAAATGTTGGTCAATTTTATGCGACCCAGTATGGACAAGTATAATGTGACGCATATTATACCATGATATCATATTACGATTCGATGAGAAGACGAAGAAATAATTAAGCTATGTTACGCGTGGCTATTTCTTATCTAACATTAGTAAAACATAAAGTGCGATGCATTATAACTCTGATAGTCAAATTGTGAAATATTGAACAACAATGGCATCATAAATTGCTGAAAAAGTTCGCAATGATAGCGCTAAGATGATTAGACGATACACAAAGATTTTATTTGTTAAAAATGTTTATATAATTATTGAAACCTTTTAAGTATTAACTTGATTCTTTCAAGCACAATTCTATTTCTAACTGCTTTAAACATAATGTAGTAGTAACATTTCTTTCAATTATTGGGCAATTTCTTTCCAAATTTAAGTTTGTAAATATTCCAATAAGATGATTGGTCATATCATTATTTCAACATTATTATTGATATTTATATTCATTAAAATATTACTTAGAATTTATTTCTTTAAAAAATGTTTACATATAATTATACTTGATTTATATGGCCATATATGATTATACGTAATTACATATATACATACCGAAAGAAATATAGACAAATATTATTATATAAATTTGTCTCATCATAATATATAATTTTTTCTCAAGTGTTTTTGTATACATTTCAGCTGCGTAGCCATCTGATATCGTAGTGTCGTAGAAACATTCTTTCTTTCGAAATTTGTAGGTGAATATTTCACATTCACATGGTTGTGCTGAAACAAACTCTTTTTTATATTCATATTGTTTTTGTTGTGTCGATTTTGTTACTGTTCCACCTACTAGAAATTATAAAATAAATTTAAATTGTTTTTTTATTTTTTTCGTACAATTTTTTCGAAGTAATATATATAGGGTAAAATCTATTCAATATCTTCTCAGAGATATTATAACGGAATGAAATGTTGATATTACTCGTAAAAGTAACGATAAACGTGTTATCATTTTTTATTATTTCTGGCATTTTACGTAAGATCACGCATTCACTTTGTATAAATTCGTGGCGGAACGTACAATATTTTAGTACAATAGGTTCCTTCGAACTAGCCGTATTTTAGTAGAACAGGTTTCTTCGAACTAGCCGTAAGTCTTTTCCGAATGTGAACATTTCCGATATGAAAATTATTTGTAATCATCGGTATACTATATAAAAATATAAATTTTGTAAGAAGATTGATTTATATAAAAAAAAAGTTAACTTTCTCCTTTAATTTTTGGAAAACTTCGAAAAGGAAGAGTGTAAGTCATAAAATATCAATTTTTGTAAATAATTAGAACTATTAAAAAAAAAATTTGAAATCTAATGTTGAATCTAATGGACCTTGACGGTATATCCATGGTTAACAATTATCGCGCTTCTATTAGAAGCAATTATTATTCGTGCACTCTTTCCTTGTGAATGCTTCGTCAATATTGCGATATTGAATATTTCATTCGCTATCTTAAATATATGGTATACGTTATTGGTGTATTTCTGTTAATTTATCCCCTTTGTTAATGTTGCAGCGCACATCTTTTCGATAAAATGAACATTCGTTTAATGTTCACGTTAATTGCCCTGCTTGTATTGACAGTTTCTTTTTCTGGCGCGAATTCTTGCTTTAAGCGAAATAGGCAAGTAAGTAAAATAATAAAATAATACAAGTTTTTTTTAACTTAATCGCAGCTATTGTAGAGATATATATAAAATTTTAAATTTTGTATAAGAATATTAATGGTTTTTGATTAAGGTAATATGTTTCGTAATACGATAAATAGTGTCAATAAAATGATATATATTATTTAATTCAGTATTTTGGAAGGATATATGTGAAGATTATATATAAAAATAATTGAACATCCGTATATTCTTAAAGACCAAAACAATAAGAATGTCCACAGTTAGGTATAAGTTCAGGCATTGATATTTTTATCTTAAAAGTCTGTTCTATCTTTCCAAAAATAAAAAATCACTTGTGTTTGTACACAGCAGCAGAAAAGTATTAAAAATAATATATTGAAACATATCATAAAATATTGACACGTATCATAACATTCTGATACATTTCTCTATATATAAAAACTGCTTTATGTTTGAGACTCATGTCCTGCGTGAAAACTATGCGATTGCAATTAAGACTTTGAAACTTCACTTATTTGTACTTATCGTGTCACGATCGCGATGTCAGATACGATAATACACGTTTGATTTGGAAAATTTTATAATTCATTTATTAATGTATTATTAATCTAATTAATCAATTATAACATATGATTGCAGTGTAAAGGATCATTTTTAAAGTCAGCATGCTGTGAGGGTTTGAAATGTGTGAATGGTAGATGCACTTAGCTATTAGCTAACAGCTACAATGAAAATGAAAAGTCGAATCTACATCGAATGTGGTGGTCTTTTGATGGTGGTAATTTGTAATAGACTCAACTTAAATGTGAACTTAAATTTTGGCCAGTCCTTCGACATTAGTTTCTGTAACTACAAAATGTTGTTTTTAATTAAATTACATTGATACGAAGAGACATATCAAACTGATGTTAAATTATTTTCTTGAAATATATAGCCTGTCACTTTATCTTCTGCATCATCTTATTTCATAATGAGTCCCTCCGCGGTTCCGATCCTGTAATGATCACGTATCCTTTTCCCAATCATGATCAGCGTTGTATTACTTCTATAATCGATTGCGAACTTCTGATAACAATGTGCCCTAGCGATAACTTTGGAAATTATGCTCATACAACATAGATGTTGTATGTACAGGGTGTTGCATCAACATACTCCTCCTTACGACTGGTTGCCTGCCTAAGGTGCTTACGTCCAAATGATAACTTTGGTTTTTCGGTATAGTCATTCAGGTATCTTTCAAACGAATTTGTAGCGTTCCAAATTATCATAATTTCAACGGATTCGCATCATGATCGGTTAAGAATCCAACAACATTATATATATAATATTATATATATAAAACATTTAGAAGTATAAACAAGAAAAAGCATGGAGTTAACTAGATTAATTAATGAGTAAGTAGATAAATAATGAGTAAGTAGATAAATAAAATATCAAACTTTCTTCTTTCACACTTTCTTCGTCATTTTTTACGTTGCCAATTTTGACAGAAGTTTGAGATTGCAAATAATGAGGAAGGAACAGTTATAAGCCTCAAGCAAAAGTATGAGCGAATTGTAAATGCAGAATAAAAGAATGATAACAATTTAATTAATGAACACTTTTATATATTACAAGCGACAGATTTTCGATATATTTTCTTTACATTTCTTGGAGTGAAGATTTATAACAAATAAATAAAAGTGCTATTACAGATCGTAAAAACGAATATCTTATCTCTTCGCGCTATTCCTACGATATACGAGTGCATGTGATAATTCATTAAAGTGAAAACATTCTTACGTTTTATTCGGTATGGGCAAGCACAATGTGATGCACATCACATTATGTTATCGTGTTACGCGATTTACGAGCCAGCGACACCTTGCCGTTGAGCGTTATTCAAATTAACCCGACGCGCATAACGTTTCGCTTCCGAGCAGTTTTGCCTTTACGATTGACTCGTGTAATAACCGCGTTTTGTCGCGCTCTCCTCTCCTCCCCCCGATAGTACGGTGTAATGAATCTCTCGATTGAACGAAATATCTACCTCGTGACATCAGACGTCGCGCGTCTCGAACCTGACATACCCTCCGCCACATTTCGCGAAAAGGAACCGACGCGACCGGGTCATCGGCCCGCGGTATCGTTTCCGCGGAATGTTTCCGCTCGGGCGTCATCGTATTGCTCGCGCGTCATCGTACGCATTTTCGTAATGAGCGACCAAAATTATCGGTGAGCGCCGGCCGTTCGCTCATCGGTCGATAATAGCGAGGCATCATCCCTCGCGCGCTTTCACGGCGTCCTCTTGTCAACACGGGGTGCAAAGAGAGAAGAGAGAGGGAGAAGGAGGGGGAGAGAGAGAGAGAGAGAGAGAGAGAGTAAAAGAGTGAGGACGGACGGAAGAGACGAGAAGGGAAAAGAAGAAAAGAGAAGTGAAGAGAACGCGAGGCGAGAACGAGGGCGACGCGCGTCGTTGGAGGGCGAGGAATAGAAGACGAGCAGCGCTGCTAAGTCGAATGTCGAGTGATGCCAAAGTTAAATATAAATGTGGGCAGCGAGAGAGAGAGAGAGAGCGTCGCGACGCCCATCCTGGATCGATGATCCAGCGCCGGGGACCAGTCTGTCCGTAGTCCGCGTCGCGATCCGGCGGTCGTTCTCTCTCTCTCTCTCTCTCTCATTTTCATCATCTTCGATCTCGTCTCTCGCCCGTTTCGATCTAGCGTCCCGCTCGCGATCGACCCTCCATCGAGATCGCGACGCAAGCAGTGAAACCTCGACGACGACGAGAAGGGGATCGAGAGCGGAAAAGTGCGAATTTCGGTGTACGGAGCGGAGGCCGCGCCTCTCTTTCCGCCCCCGCAGCGGAAACCCAGTCCTCGTGCGTGTATGAGATCGGTCGACCATCGGGCACGTTGGATCGCACCGAGGATTTACCGGTAAAGTTCCCATTGGACATTGCAACCCCGCCGCGAGACGCTCGGCCTTAATTTCGCCGATGGGGCTTCTCGTCCAATCTGCCAATCGCGATAATCCGCGGAGATATTTTATAAACTGCGTAGGCTGGTTTGCTCGCGTACGCGCGACGGTTACAGCCTGTTGCGTAATTCATAAGAATCTCATTATTGTAATATATAATTGGACGAGAAGTCGCCGCCCTTTGCGGAGCTCGCGCATATCGCGTTTCGCATCGTGTAATTACGGTAACGCGATTATTTACATACACGCGCTTAATTAGTAACATGGTAGTCGTTATTCGTGTAAATAGTAAGATTTGGGTCACTTCGTCTGCGCTTTGTCGTCGTGACGGGCATGGGCGAAGCCAGCCTTGTTCCGGTAATATTGATAATAAATAGATCAGAGACACACCGGGGGGTGCAAAAAGTTAGTAGCGTTTGTCGTTCGTTTCAGGTTGAAGGTGACTTCACGCAAACTCGAACCGATCTTTACTGATCAAGTCTCATTATCTTTCATACTTCCACCATCTGGAGAGAAGTTTTACAATCCGCTGAATTTCGCCGCCCCCTTCTAATTTTATTTAAAGAACTCTCGCGGAAGAGGACGGGAAACTTCTGCGCGCGCAATACGGCAGCAAGAGCGCAAAGTCAAGTTTAATCGCGACTTTCCATTCGGAAGTCAAGTGCGACGGATGCGACTTTGCGCACGCCGCGATTGAGCCGCCATTGCGAAATCCGCCTGGTGTTATACAGCCACCGGGAGTTCGCGGTGACACCGATGATGTCACGTCGCGGTCCCGCGATGGATGAGGGGGTGAGCTCCGATAATAATAATAATTGCCGGCTGCGTATATAGCGCGGCCGGCGATGCAAGACGATTCTGTCAGCGACATCCGAACGCCGAACTATTTCCGACCGTCAATTCGACGGAGAGATCTTATTTTTGGACGCAGCATCCCCGAGGTCGAGGATCCAGCGGGGCCAGGCGGATCCTCGGGCTCGCACTAAATTCTCCAGCGATTTCTCTCGATCGGAATCGCGAGTCACGCCGCTTGCGCCGTCGCCGTCGCTCTAATATTAGCGGCTTTCGCGATCGGTGGACCCGATCTTTCGGTCCCAATTTACGAACGGAGCGACGCGTTTCAATTATTCCCGAGCGACAACCCCCCCGGACGCTCCGCTCGTGTTTCCTCGGGATCGACGCTCGGCGATTGTCACCTCTCGACGTCCCGTTAGCCCGTCGCACGTTTTACGTCGCAAATGTATTCCGCGTAGCTGTCACGATTATATTATGCATGCGCGTACGCGAGACACAAGTCAGATACAATGCTGTGTAACGACAACGCATCTTAGCGGATTCCTGAAGTTTCGTCTCGAGAGGACGACGTGAATCTCGTGGCAGAAATTGAACCGCGTGAGCGTCCAATCACGAGGTAGTAAATTCGCACGCGGGAAATAAGTTTTGTTGGAACAGCAAATTGTTCGTTAATGTAGCGATGGTAAAAAAATTTGTTACACGGAAAAATTAATTTTGCTGTTGTAGCAAAATTAATTTTTCCTGCAAATTTTTCTTGCAAAAGTTGTGCGACGGCAATAAAATTTCGTCGGCGTAACAAAATTATTTTGCTATCTATATCCAGCAAACGGCAATTAGTACTCTTAACAAATCTTTCTGCTGTCCAAACAAATTTTGTTTTGGTGCCACGATATTGACAAACAATTCGCTGTGCGAACTTGTTCTCTCCGTGCGCGTCACTATTACCCGGTAAACAATTAGCAGTAATATTGTATATCAATATTATAATTTTCCACTCAACAACATAAATTTAATATAACATATGTTGTGCGTAACAATTGCATTGTTGAGTGAGAAATTACGATATTGATGTAACGTTGTTGTTAGATAATGTTTACTGCCAGTAAAATAACGCACATATCTCGTATTGGCTACATAATGGCTAGTTAAATAAATTAACTAATGATAAGACAAAAGAAGTTAAACTAAAGAAGTTACAGAATTACCAGACGAAAAATCATAACGAATTATCAACCAATGATACGTTCATTTCCGCATTTTGAAAATTTTTATGGGACCACGTACTCTTCATTTTGACTTGTCGTCTAATTTTTAAATGTTATTGTATAGTAACCAGATTATATACCACCATCTACACCATCATATTTGATATGCAATAGCTGGACGTCTAAATCTCAAAGCCGATTTTACGTTTTAATAAATAATCCAGCAGCAACGAATTAGTACCGAGCTTGAAAATTTAATCCATCCTACTAGCTAGCTATTACTAGCTTTTCACGCTCAAGCCGACATCAGATACATTTCTACCGGAGTTATATCTCCGGCTCGCTCACAGACCGCTCTTGCGCGTCAAGACCGGACAATAAATACATTCCGCCCCGTCCGAGTTTTGACGTCTAAAGTCTGTCGCCAATTTCGCGTACATTTTGTACTCGGACTTACGCCGATTACACACTCTTGGCGCGTAACAAGCCGACAGGCATCCTCAGATGACAACGGACATCGCGGCGGGAAAGATCGGGATAAAATTTCTCGCGAAATTCCGCGAGGTTTCAAGATCCTCTTCGCTCTTCCGCGAGATCGGCCAACTCCTCGATGACTTCTCTGTCACAATTGCGCGTGTCGAACAATCATCTCGGCAACGTCCACGTGCGTACGATCGGACCGCAACCGCGATGGCGATTACGGCTGTTAATATCCGTGTCAGTCTCCGAAATACCCGACGCAGTCATTGCGAATATACCTGCCGGTCTGTTGGACGCGTGTATAAACGCCGCGCTGGTCCGAAATAGAAATAGCGCTATATTTAGCCGGCCTACACTCGGTATCCGGCTAAAAAGCCAAAGACTTTTCGGTCTACGCGCGCGCGCGCACGTACGCGCTCGTCCGAGGCGCGCAGACTTCCTCTTATGATTTTACGACGCGTAAAATGACCTGGCGAAACAATGGAACCAGATATGATCCGGAGAAATATCGTTTACCGCGAACGCACGACTCATTTCGAAGCTGGGTATATGTTCCCGGTCACAAAAAGATTGCAACATTTAGTGAGTTTCGGAACGTATCTCGTGTTCAATGTATGAAACGGAAATTTGTGAAGATAAAACTTGCTTGCGCGAAGAAATTCTACAGTAAAATTCCATTAAAAAAGATCATATTTTTGTTATTCGAGAAAAATTTTCATTAAATGAGAGGAAAATATGTTGAATAGGAAGAACGAAATCTTCAAACTGATACAATTCTTAGTTTAAAATATCATTCTTTCTGTTCAATGTATTTTTCTCTCGATACATAAACATTTTTCTGGAATAATGAGAATTTGATATTTTTAGTGGAACTATATAGAATTATTATTTGCTATTTAGTGGAACTATATAGAATTTTTCCATGTGTGTGTAAGCAAATTTTATCTTCATATAAAATTATATGTTCTTGCTTATATATGAGAATATGAGTTTTGAATTGATACTATTATTCTGTATAAGAAAATTTGTTTTTTTTTAGTAACTTTCGGGAGACACGTTTTCCTGTTGAATACGAGACTTGTTGTAGAATTCATCAAAAAACAGTTGTTGCAATATTTTTGTGACTGACGACATACACATTTTCCAAACAGTAACTACGAAAGTTTGCATACGCCATTCATTCCTTGTTCGCTCCGTGTACACTTAGTTTTATACGGTAAAAAATTTTGTGTTAAAAACGGTCCACCGAAATATTGTGTTACCTTAACAAGGTGAGTATATTGAAAAATAATATGTTAATAAGATGAATGTTAATGTTAAGAGTTACGCGCATGTTAATTTAACATTATATTTCTGTACTACTTAACACATCCCTCATGTTGAAGTAATACAAAACAATTTCAGTGGACCGTTCTTAACACAAAGTTCTTCACTATATGAGAAACGTTGCGAAGGCGACGCGAAAACACTTGGCTGTTTGGCATTCGCGTTGCGTCGTTGCTTCATCCGAGATCTACAAGGTAAACAAAATATGTATTTTTGCGGAATCACAGATGGTGAGATTGACTTCTCTCCGGGAGCTCGTGTTGTATGTGCAGAAACCGTATAAGTATGACGAATGCGCGACGATTATGGCTGAAGGGTGCCGGCCGTGTTTGATACGTCTAGCCGAAACTAAATAGACGCGTACACACACTGTCTCTGTCGCTTTCCAGCTGCCAAGATCTCCGGTATCAACGAACTCTAGCACGGTCGGAATCTTTCGAAATCCCCGGGGGATATTTCCGCGGAATACGAAGCGACCGTCGCGATAAATGAGCTCATTACCACGAGGCGGTCTAACGAATTTCGAAAGAGTTACGCGCGGATTCGAGGAATCGCAGGCATTCGGCAGTTGTCGAAATGCATCGCGCGAGACTCTCATCTATATTCCATTTGTATTCCGCGGCCCCTCTCCGCTTCTTGATCCATTGCCTCGCGTGCCGGCGTGTTATCACTTTGACATTTCGGTGATCGTGGACACCTTCCCGCATCAATGTGCAAAAGTTCACAGGTACGCGCGTGGACGATACTAGTAGTCACCTATTTCGAGAGACTTTTGGCTACGTGCCATCCCGAATACTCGCCGCTATTATGCGACCTGGAGTTCACTCGTAGTGCCTACGTAGTGATCATCCCCGTGGACTCTAGTCTTCCTCGTGAAAATTTCGCGATTGCAACGACTCTCGCAGCTGCCGATAGCGGAATCGATTAAGACCGATTAACGATAAAGTAGCGAAGCGTTTACTACCGTACGAACAAATAATCTCCGTCCCTGCGACTGAACGAAGATGAAATGAAAACCTCGGTGACGAGAAATTATATTGTCGCCGCTGTGAACATTCGACTGCGTTGAAACTCGGTTGAGACTTGAGCTGGCTCGGTTGAAAGCGACCGACCTAGCGGAAACCTTTCGCGGGAATCTTCCTGTTCCTGCATTGATAGAGAGTTACAGTTATTTTCAGCGCCAAACGTACGTATTTTAAACACGGAAATAGAGCCATTTTTCTAGTAAGTGCTATTATAATGTCAGTAATAATAATCTTATATGCATGTTGCCACTAAGATAAAATATGTTTGGCGCTAAAAATAACGATAACTTTCTATCAGTGTACGACTGAGTTTTCGTCTGGTGCCCGGGCAACGGAAGATTTACCTAGTAAGCAAGAAATCGTTAATACAACGTTATTACAGTGATATTTTATAACATGTAACGTCTTCAAATATGCAGTTCTTAATTTATACAACGTTACTGGTGACAGTATTTAACCGAAACATTAAAAATAATATTTCCACACTACAATGTTAGTATTTAAAAATATAATATTATCAAGTAACAGTTAAAAAAAATTCTAAAATATTATCGTCGAAATGTTTATAAAATCTACATAAAATCAATGTTTTAAAAGACTGATTTAATGTTTCTTGCTGGATATTTACATCGACGGAACCGTATTCTCTCTCTCTCTCTCTCTCCGTGCCTCGCCACATCGTTCGGCCGGTATTCGCACGCATCAAAGCGACACCTGACTGACTCGCTTTTCGCTTTCAGCGATGCTACTGGCCTGCGACCACGGTGAAAGCAGTTCGAAGTAGCCCACCATGTCGCAACAACACCCGTCGAGGCCACCCGGGAGCCACGTGCCGCCGGGTGGCTGGCCAGGACGAGCGAACGCGCCGAGCCCGTTCAGGCCTGCTTCGCCATATACACCTTCGTCATCGCCGCATCCGCAAGGACGAGCTCGTACCGGACCCCCGACTCCGATTCATTCGGCGCGACCAATGTCACCACTCGCCTATCCCGCTGGGATGATGATGCACCCGATGAGTCCGGTGCCGATCGGGATGCCTATCTCACCCGGGATGTCGCCGGTCTTCGGCTGCCCGACTTCCGCTTACATCCAGTGCCCAAGGCCGCGGTGGCCCTCGCCGATCCCTACGGGCAGCCAGGCGCCAAGGCCGTTCATACCAACGCAGGTATTCGATCATATGTGTGCGCACGCGAAAGATGACAGATCGATACCGCGGCGTGACGTCGATACGTATCGACATCGTGCGTCGTGGTTGGCTAAACTTGAGCGTCTAGAATAAACAATCTTCTTCCTCTTCTTCTCCTTCAATTTGTGCCTCCTATTATCCTTGCAGGCACGCGCCTGACGCCATTTTACGACAGCAATGTTGATTATCGTAGTTGCTGGTATAATTAGTCAGATAATATAGATTGAATTCGATCCCGATACTCCTCCGGTGCATGTATTGCCTAAACAAGTATACCTTCGTAAAAAGAAATGCGGTCGAAGCGCTCAAAGGAGCGCTCTGACCGTCGATCAAAAACTAGGCTTATTCTACGACCTTTCAATGACAGTGTCGTTATCATTACGTTGTCTGTCGGGTGGTCTGAAATGGTAACACGGTGGAAAAGCTGCGCGCCAACCAGGAAACGATAATGACACTGTGGTTAAAAGTTGCAGAGTATGACTCTAACGCGCTCACGCAGCACGAGAGCATGACTCGAGGTCGTGAGAATAAATAATAAAGATCAGCCGGCGAGACAGAGATGAGTCGATCTCATCGAACGGAGACGTCGGTCTCTGAGCTGCTTCTCATCGCAACTTGCAGAGCTCCTTCAGAAGCGACTCGGCATCGCCGGTGCCGTGCGCGCCGCCGGAATACCTGATCGCGCCCTACAGACCCGGGGATTACGAGTACATCGGCGTGCCCTTAGACCATACGCAGTCGGACGAGGAGAGCAGCGGGCCCAGCACCGCCGAGATCATCGCCAGTCAAAGCCAGGATTACATAGACGAGAAGCTCGCCGAGTACCAGGCCACGATCCAGCAATTGCAAGGTGAGTTTCACGGGGTTGGAGGAGAGGGGCTGATAGTCCGTTCTGGGATCGGTTTGCACGGAGGAATTGCATCGGTTACGTTATAAAGACCGCAAGCGGACTGCCATTACGCCCTCGTCCTTCCCCATCCTCGCGAACAAAACCCTTAATTACAGTCCTGTTTACCGATCCGGATCACGAAGCGCCGTCGCGCACGCAAGTTACACCGCCTGTGGGAACGCGAGCGGCGAGATCGTATCGTATCTCCGCCACGTACCTCGTCCTCTACGTAAGAAAATCGCGAAATTCTCTCTTCTTTGTTTCTTCCGAGACCTCGATTTGAGATTTGGGGAGAGGGGACGGAGGAGGGAGGGGATGAATCGAGCGTGGTTTCGCGAAGCTTCAAACTTCTCCTCGTCGCCGCGACGCGCTCGATCTCGAGTCTCCGTCTGGAAACGAGCTCTCGATTGCGCCGGCGAATCGCTGTCGCAAAAGGACACAAGGTCGGGCGCGTCGTCATCGTCGCTCATCGACGTACGCCCACGAGGACGTGCATCCGCAGGGTCATAATTCGTCCGCGCTTCTTGCGCAACGCGGCCGCCTAGCCGCACGGGACAGAGTCGTGTCGTCGTCGTGCGTCTCTCATACTCGTCGAATCGAACAGCACGCAGGGAAACTAGGATAGGATCCGCGGAGAAGTGAACGAGTTATAAATAGACGTGACGAACACCTGCCGCCTGCCATTCGCCAATCGTTACGCTCGCTTTTCCTGTCCGGCGACACTACGATGTCGATCGCGCTGGACGTATCACCTGATTGATAAATAGATAACAGGTCCGATCGTGGGCCGTTTTCGAGTCGCACGTCGAGATTGCACGAAGTGTTTCGCGAATATGTCGACTTCTCGACGAGTTCGGTCGTCCATTTCTCTCCGGCGAGAGAAAAAGGATCGAGCGAGAGAAGAAAAAAAAACTCTCGTGATCGTAACGAAGAGACTTCAACTACGTTGTTTCGGTTTTCTTGCCATCGGGTCTGAAAATTTCGGAAAGACGTCTAGACACTGCTTTAGGGGGAGATAGAAAGAGAGAGGAAGAAAGACACACAAGTGGATGTCTTTTACGTGCGTTTTGTTGACGTTCTCAGCGCGAGCAAAGAACATCCCACGTAATTAGAAGCGGAGGACAATTTTTTATAGACGATACAACTATGTCAATTGGAATTCGGCTATTAATAGACCGTGGCAGACAGTAGCAGAAGCGCTCGTTAAGATTCGCGATGAGTATTGCCTCCTTCCCGCGTGCTTCACGAGCGCTTAATAAATCTCTCTCTCGCGGCGCACGCAGCCCAGCGAGCGGGTCATGATTCAGGGAGATAAATGCGCGCGGGATTGACAGGCACGTCGGCCGATTAAATCCAATGCCAGGTAATTCGGTTTCCAAGTTGACGATTTCGCGTCGGACATCGTCGCGTGCCCCCATTAAGACGCGGGATACTCTGTAATCGTGGGAGCCGCAGATTGCAGCGCGTCAGAGCGGACGGAGTTGATGAAGGGGTTTGCGGACACGTCGGACGCGTTCGTGGCTGCGACGCGTTAAAAAGATCGAGTTATCGGCAAGTTATCAACGAATAAGAGAAGGAAAAATGAAAGAAGGAAGGAAATCAAGCGATTCTCGCGACGTGGATAACCCGCTGCGGTTACTGCCGGCGATTAGACGACGATTCGCCCGACCTGTGAAGCGATAAATCAGATTCTGATCGCTCGAGCGCAACCAGTTAGCTTAACGCGTTGCAACTGCCTCGGATGAGCACGATTAATCTCCATATTCAATTGCACCTACCGTACAAGAGAAAAATTTAGTATCAATTCAGGACTCATATATAAGCAATCTTATGCGAAGATAAAACTTGATTACACGTGTGAAGAAATTTTATATAAATCCTACCAAGAATTTTATGTTCATGTTATTCAAGAGTAATTTTCATAAATTGAGAGAAAAAAGTATTGAACAGAAAGAATGATATCTTGAAATTGATACAATTCTTCGTTTGAAAGTACCGTTCTTCCTATCTAATATTTCTTCTCTCAATTTAATATATCTCTCAAAATTAATATATATTAATATATATTAATATATATCAATTCAAAACTCATTTTTATATGTAAGCAAAAATATATAAAATCTTATATGAAAATAAAATTTAATTACACATACGATGAAATTCTATATAGTCTATATATACTAAAAATATCATATCATTGTTATTTAAAAATAATTTTTTATAAATTGAGAGGAAAAAGCACAAGATAGAAAGAATGATATTTTCAAATTAATACAATTTTTAGTTTGAAGATACCGTTCTTCCAATATTTTTTTCTTCTTAATTCAAGAAACTTATTTTTAAATAACAATAATATAATATTCTTAGTGGAATTATATATATAGAATTTCTTCATATAAGCACGTTTTATTTTCATATAAGATCATATGTATTCTTGTTTTTATATAAGAATACGAATTTTGAACTGACATTAACTTCTTTTCTGCGTATTAAACACTTTACCTCTGCACCCAACGCGCTCATCTCGCCCTCGACGATTGTTTGAGCGGCCAGATCAACGTTTCCCGAGATTTACGGACTGTTTGCCACTAGTAGCTAAGAAAATACCCTCTTCCCTTGAGATCTTTAATCCCCATTATCACTGTAGCTGCGTAAAGTGCTCTCTTGGATCATCCTAATTTCATCTCCGATGCGCAGACTGTTCGGCGATTTATTCCGCTGTATCTCAACTCGGGCTCAGGAAGGATCAGCAAACCGAGGGAAACTATCGGGGATTTGAACGAATATCCTTAACAAAACAGCTGTCGCTTCCTGCTCAGAGCAGGATACGATCTGAGGGTTCGAGGGCTGTTTGTTCGGCCCATCTTGAAGCGTGTCGCCGAATCCGAGGGACCGACGTAGCACGTGAACCGCGCAACTGTGTAATGATCGATTAATCGCCAGTCGTCGGGAGCAGCTCGTGAGAGAGGCGGCACCTGAAGCGGTCGCATCGGCGGATGGATGAAGCCGGTCGATTCGGCCTGTCTGCCGGCGTCGCAGGTACGAAGGCAGGGCGAAGGGCCGACGAAAAGCAAGACGACAGGATTGAGCGGGCGACGGGGAAGGGAAACAAAGGGAAAGGTGCGAGTCTCGCTCTCCCGGAGAGGAGCGCTCGGCCGGATCCTGCCGATTGAGTCTCCCTGCACCGTTGATACCGGTGCTGCGCGTCGGCCGGCGCATCGCGGGCGGTGGGAACGAGGTGGAGAACGCGGTCGGGGCCCCGACAGGCCGGTAGTATCGAACCGGCGGCCGTCGCGCGCGGCCACCGTCTACATTCCGTATCTGTGCGTAATTCCATGTGCGCGCGCGCTCCTTGTACACTCGTATATGTATTGTTCCCCCGCGCACAGGCACGCGCGCATGTCATACTTAGTGCCTCCAGCTATACGTAGACGCGTACTCCGTTGGCGTGGGTGCTGACGGAGGGTGGTTCGGCTCGGGGCGAGCTCCGCAGGAGCGCAGTTCGTCGATCCGGTGGACGCGACGTTCGAGCGAGTGACGTCGTCGCTCGTCATCGTCGTCGTCGTCGACGGCGACCGACAGCTCGGACAGGTGACGTCGGCGTACGCGGCTCTGGTGCATGGGTGTGGTGTTGTCGGCGGAGCGGAACCGCCGGAGTCGGCCCTCAGGGTGTGAGACTGCCGAACAGTGGGAGGGGAACGAAGGGGCTGCGATCTCGTCGAGCGAGCCAGCGTCGATTTTCTCCGATGACGGTATGAAGTAGGCACGACACGAGCCATGTCACGGGGAACTCCACCCAGAGGCAGTCCGACCCCGCCGAGGGTGGACAGTCCCGGCGATGGTAGTCCGAGGACGCCACGTGGTGGTCGCCTGCGAGACCGGGTGAGCTTCTTCGAGCAGGTCTGGTCGAGAGGGCGTAGCCCCAGCGCCGAGGACCTCCTAGAGGATGCGCGCAGGTCGTCCTTCCGCTCGCCGACGCACCGGCGACCGTCCTCCAGAGCGAGCGACTCCTCCTTCGAGGAGAGCTTCGAGAGGCTGGTGGAGGAGGGCGAGCTGAACGGCGCCAAGGTGGTGAAATTTGAAAAGATCACCGTGAGGAAGAGCGTGCGGGAGGTCGACTCGAGCAACGGCGACTCCGTGCTCCAGCAGCGCGCCGCTCTAACCGAGTCCAGCAGGACCCCGAGCGAGGAGCACGCCCTGGAGGACTCGGCTTACCAGAGCCACAGCCACGGTGTGCACAGCCATGGCAGTAAATCCAGCTCGGTCACGTCGTTCACGCGATTCCCCTCGGAGGAGAGCCTGTCGCAGCGGAGATGCAGCAGCCCCCGGCAGCAGCTCGGCCAGCCGGACGACCGGCCGCCCTCGGAGTGGTACGCGGAATACCGCAGCCAGAGCTTCCAGAATGTCGCCTCGAGAATGGACTATGTGCGCAGCAGGACCGAGTACGACGCACACATAGCTGAGATCAAAGGTACCACCCTCGTCGAGCTGAAGCGTCTCGGGAATCGAGGAGCTCCCGAGGCCTCGTTCCCCCTCATCCTCGTCGTCGTCGACCTCCCCATCGACATTCACGCTTCCGGCACTCACGCCGGCCGGCGAGAGACGCGCGCTCGATAATCGAGGACGTTGCGTGCCGTCGTGGCAGACGTTCTCGCGCGAATATCCCCGAGGCGAGCGGACATCCCCCATGGGAATGTTCGCTGACATGTGTCCGATAACATCTCGGTTATCGATCGCCGACTGTAGCCTCCGCATTCGACTGGGAAGGGGCGCGTGTGTCGAATTATTCAGCGCGATCGGCGATTCCGAACGGTGCGATCATTTCAATCGGCCCGGCTGTATCTTGCTGAGGTCGCTTAAAAGCAGCGAGGTCGTTCGAGCGAGGCCCTCGGGTACTCGAGCCAGCGCGTTACATATTCATTAACGTGCAATCGCGATCGCTTGCGAACGAAACCCCGCGG